ACACACACACACACACACACACACACACACACACACACACACACACAGAGGCTAACAAGTCTGTCTGGCCGGGAGATGAATAGTTGTCTGCCACACCTCTTTATCTCCACCCCCTGCCTTTCATCCCCAGAGCTAGAGTGGGGGCTTCGCTAGCAGCGGTGGCTCTTCCGTCCCAAGGACCGGCCCATAGATTTCCACTGCTCTCCTCTCCTCTGCCTTCTGTGCATCCATGCATCAGGCACTGGACCCAGCTATTCCTTCTCTTCCTCATCAGCCTCATCACCTCCAGACCTGGGGGCTGTTGACTCTTAACCGGAGATGTGGGAAAAGCTCCGCCAACCAGGTGCTCTTGTCAGAGAACCAGAATGCTTTGATAAGGAAGGTTTCTCGTCCTCCGTTTGAAAGGCCACCTCCGTTTTATTGAACGGCACCACCCAACATTGCAAAGTTGCAGAGGATGTGGTGTCCCACACAACTTGCAGGTGCTGTGACTCTTGGCCAGCATGGAACTGAAAAAAAAAGATAATTCCCCAGCTCCGAGGGGTGCGATCACAATAGTAGCAGTCTTTAAAACCCCTAATAGGTCCTTTGTTCTGACAAGAGTTTCGAAATACTTTAAAATGCCATTTATTGTTAAGCTGTGGTTGTCTGTGCAGAACTAGGTAATTATCCCCGGTGGTTAATTAACTAACTGGGGTAGGATTGGGAAGTAATTAACCTCCCGGAGGGGAAGGCAGGACGTATTCTCTAGACAGCCATGAAAGGCAATTTTGTCTACTGTACTTAGAGTTGTGGGTCAATTGCTTGGGAAGAGTGTAGTTTTATAACAACAACATACTTTTCCTAGATCAGAGACTGAGTTTTGCTTTTCAGGATGGAGCTTATACGTGCGGTGAAAGGCGCTGTGAGCCAATGGTTGGAGAGGAAAACTTAGCAATAACAAAAGGGCCTGGTTATATTTATTTTGCACTCGGGTATGGTACCATCAGTTGCAGGGGAAGCAAGGTTTCTGCTAGATCAGAGAAAAGAGCTTGTGTGAATTCCAGCTTCCACAAGCTTTCGCCAACATGTCAACATTGAAGGATGATGGGATTGGAGTCCAGGAACAACAGTTCTTGGGAGGCTAATCTAAGTAGAGACGAGTTTTTGAGAGGCACGAGTGTTAAAAATAAAAGTTTTTTTTTCCCTACCCCTCAATCCAAAGAAGAAAAACACACTGGCAGACTATAACTATTGGCTAAAAGAGTGTCCATCTCAGCCTTATCTCAATTGACCAGAGTGGGGTCCCCTCTCCTCACTTCTCTCTCCCTCTCTTTCTCTCCCTCTTTCATTCTCTCTCTGTCTCTCTCCCCCTCCCTCCCCTTCTCTCTCTCTGTGTCTCTGTCTCTTTCTGGCTGCTGAAGCCAACATTTGCCAAGATAAAGAGAGTCTGGCACATTTATTCACTGGATTGCTCATGCGGGGCCAAGAGGATTAAATAATACTGCCACTAGGGCAGAGCGATCATTTTAGCCATCCATCATGTTGCTGGTGTGGGCAGTTGGGCAGTGGGCTGGCTGCAAGCAAAGGAAGCTAAGGGCACCAAAGCGGGCAGGCAGTCACCAGCCATCCGGGGTTCCCAAGCTCTGCCAGCCCTTGTCAGGGACACCCTTTCGGCGTGGCTCAGGAGCCCAGTTTTTGTTAAACAGAAGAGCAGCTGCTTGGCTCATTTTTGCTTGTTTTCCCAATGCTGTAACCCCCACGTTGTGTAAGGGAGAAGTTGTGTGGGTTCTTCCAACAATTTTGCAAAGAAAAAATAGAGTTGAGATGAGCCCCATACCACTTTCTTCCTTCTTCCAATTCCTTCATTTGTCTGAAATGGTACAGGTATATATTCTGCATTCTCTTTTCTTCTCCTCTTCTGCATTCTATTCTATTCTATTCTATTCTATTCTATTCTATTCTATTCTATTCTTCATTCTACTCTATTCTATTCTATTCTGCATTCTGTTCTATTCTGCATTCTATTTTATTCTATTCTATTCTGCATTCTGTTCTATTCTATTCTATTCTGCATTCTATGCTATTCTGCATTCTATTCTATTCTATTCTATTCTATTCTATTCTATTCTATTCTAT